AAGACCTGTTTTGAGAAAGAAATTTTGAGCAGAAGGCTAGTTCAAAGTTTCCCTTTGTGTGCATAGGCACTGGGAGGGTGGTGCAGAGCTGTATGTATTCGTCAGTGTTCCAGATGTTAGTTAGCCACACAAAGGAACTTAGAACTGCCAAGGACCTGTCCTGGAGACCTTTAATTAATGGCTGCGTGACGGGGACTGATACGGTATATGGTTTATATAACTTGACTACAAGAATCAAGTATTTCACATGCTTTGGAAATTACTACAGCTGACGTTTGCAAAAGTAAGGAAAAAAAAAAAAAAGAAAAAGACTGTTCTGGGGCTTTCTTCCAAAATATAACATCATGCATGGCCAAGAAAACACTCAGAGAGCTCTCAGAAAGTTGTTCCTTCGGATGCGTATTTAATTCTATCACTAACCACTGTTCTGCTGTTTACCAGCTGTTTCTGAATTTGAATTTTCACTTAAACTCTGGGAAGCACAAAGAATAGGTATGTGTATCTGTTTTTAATATCTTACCTTATCTATTAGATGTCATCTTAATATCTAACAGATATCTATCTGTTTTAATATCTCACTTTTATTAGAAGTATTTCAAATACTTTCTATATAAAAAACTTTCTATATATATATAAAAAATCTGTATTATGTAGTCAGACCAGCATATTCAAATATATCATATTTGAATCATATCTGATTACGAAAATTTCTTTTTCAAGGTGGTTTTTGCTTTTAAGATTGTTCCTGGAGCTTAGACTGTATTTACTTAGCATTTCTAAAACACATGGCCCTAACTGGGAATTATGCATTAATAGTACTAATGATAATAGACTCATTGTACATGCAAACTTGCGAGAATTGAGTTCGAAGTAGGCATAGGAAGCATTATTATTTGAAAAAAAAAAAAAAAAGGACTAGAATATGCTAAGTACATCAACTGAAAATTATTGAAGTCGCTAATTGTCCATTAGCACTAAATACTTAAGAATTCTTACCAAAGAAAATGTTCTTTGGAGAAGTAAGGAGCTAAGCAATTGAGTACGCATTGCCTGCTGCCAAGGAGGCATCTGGAGCACTAAGTTTAAAAACTGTTGTGGCTTTTGGTAGTGCTAGGACACTGGCTAATACACTTTTGAAAAGGCTTTTCCAACAGCATAAACTCTACAGAAACTTGCAATTACTAAGCGACTGGGAAGTCAGAATTACCACTGGTTAAAATCTAAATTGTGCTGGAGACAAACGTTCCTAAAGTTTTTAGGTTAGCCCATGATGAGTGCATTTGTGGCTCCAGCACACAGACCACATGAAATGCACAAAACGACTGGCACAATCTGATACCAAGAAGTGATCTGAAAATGGAAAAGGATAATAAGCACTCCTTTATCCCCCAGATGTAGTAAAATAAAAAGTTTTGTTTATAGGAAAAAAAAAAGTGCTTCAGTAGAAACTTTCTTCTACATTATTTCTGATATATAATATTGTGAGAAATTTTCTTCCACTACTAACACACCTTAGCCAACCTCCCGCTATGACAAGGGTTAGATTCCTGCCTTCTCATAAATAGCATCTCTGAGGCTGATCAGAGATTTTCTTTTTCTCCTCTGCAGTTTTAGATCCTCCAAGTTTCCTTTAGATTGCATTAGGCTCTCAATGAACTAGGTAATATTCAAACTGTTAATAGGGAACATGTTAAAGGCCACAGAGCTGTGTAAACTTGAACTGTAACCCAGTTCCTGACACGGCAGCCAGCTTGAGTTTATAAACACAGCGAAAACTTTGCTCCTTGCTGAATTCTACAATTACGAAAAAGGTTCTGCGTATTAGTTATCAAACTGCATGAAGTGGAATAATACTGCTTTCTCTAATTCCTAGAGACCTCACAAAGTTAAGTGTATTACCTTAGGGACTGCAAGCTACTCAGACACAAGTATCACCAACGTAGCACTTACAAGTTACAGGGATTAAAAACAGTCCTAAATGTTTTCTTTTGAAACTCTATCCTGGGTTGTCTCCATGGTGGAAAAATACAGGAGCTGAAAGAGCAGATTTAAATAGCTGTAGCAGGAAGTCAACATTCAGGCTGGCTGATTGCAACATGCTTTTTCCAAGTGCGTTCTTTTCTATGATCAACATGCTGCACCTGCATATGAAACACTGAAATGCTAAATGTCACCATGGGATCAGTAATGTCTTGCCTGCCATAACAGGTCCAAGACTAGGAAAAAATTATAAAAGCTTAGATCCAGGTATTGTGGCCATGCATGAGAGCACCAGGAGCCTAAAGTCACACTAGGAAGCAACTCACTGGTAACTGAATGGAATTTGACAAGGGAATAAGTTTTACCAATCCTTTCATTACTGCACAAGTTCACACTTAGCTACCTGATAGAAATAAAGATACTGCTATTGCTAATGAAGGTCTAAATGCTGTGGAGTATGGGACTGCCTCTCCAGCTGAACTCAGATGAGGTTTTTTGAACAAGAGCTTCCTCAATACAGACAGGAGACATGTGATGTAAATTTAGACCTGCAAAAGCCTTCCCTTCCGCTCAGTTTTGTGCTTAATTTTAAGTGGAGCCACAGGCAGAAAAGGGTGTTTTATTTCTGAAACAAATGACATCTGAGAGCAATGAGCTGTCTAATCTAACAGTAATTTTGAACCCAAAGTTTGGGAATAGAGGAACTGACAGAGAGCAATAGAATGTGAAGTTAACCAAACAAATGATGCATACAGAGACTGAGCAGCACTCCCATCCATAGGAAAACTGGCATCATCCTGCTAAAGTTATACTCAGCCCAGAAAACAAGAGTAAGAGAAAGGGAAGGGTGCTGAGCTTGCTTTGTGTGACCAGTGTGACTCCCACTGTTCTCAGGGAGCTGAAATTCCGCTCTGTCTGTTTCTGTCATTAGTCCGGTAGAGAAATGCAGATCAACTTATGTTGAATTGGCACTTCCTCTGTGCCACTTTAAACAATGTCATCAAAGAGAGGAAATTTCATGGGATGTAGGGGAAGTTTCATTTTTGCCAATAAAAGGAGCAGTTCTGACCTTTGTATGCATGAATCATGGATCTAACCTATTAAAATCAGTGAGCACTACAAAAGGATTCCAGACATTAAGCGTTTGGTGATAGGATAACACTGATAGGACAGCAATGTAGAATCTAAAATTTGTTATTTCAAAGAGGTCTCCTGTTCATTTCAGGATAAAGAAAATGGCTGAAAATCCTCTACTGAACGGGCCCTCCTCAAACCACAGTGAAAATGAGAGTGACTCAGTTATTTGCCCAGAGCTAGAAGACTGGTGGAAAATAGTATACTCTATACTACCCGTATACATAGACATCATCTGTGTTATTGGTATCTTTGGAAATGTACTTGTTCTCTTCATTTATTCATTTTACAAGGGCTCCCTAAAGATAGCTGAAATCTACCTTATTAACCTAGCCATGGCTGACCTTATCTTCCTCATGTGCCTCCCTTTCTGGGCAGCGAACATCAGGAATGAATTTAACTGGCCATTTGACAATTTCCTTTGCCGTAGCACCAACGCAGCCATCAGCCTAAACATGTACACTAGCATCTACTTGCTCGTGGCAGTGAGCTTGGATCGCTATCTGATTTTTGTCCATACCTTGAGCAACAGACGGATACGAAGCAAAACTTTAGCTAAAGGGATCTGCTTGCTCATCTGGCTCTTTGGAATACTTGTCAGCATCCCAACCTTCGCATTTCGGACTGTGAAACACTATCCGCAGTGGAATATCTCAGCATGCACCTTAGACTTCCCCTCTCCATCATGGATTGTAGCAGAGCGTCTGGTGTTCAACATATTGGGATTTGCGCTGCCATCTATGGCAATCATCTTCCTTAATTTTTGTATCGTTCACTCCCTAAGAGAAAACACAAGAGAACAAAGAGCACTCAGAACAAAGAGCTGCAAGGACCACAGAGACACCAGGGCTACCAGGCTGATCTTCATAGTGGTTCTGATGTTTCTTTTGTGCTGGACTCCTCACCATCTTTTTACATTCCTTGATATATTATTCCAGATGGAAGTGGTCAAAGGCTGTGTGTGGGAAGAACTGCTCAACTTTGGCCAGCAATTTACTTCTACTCTGGCTATCACCAACAGTTGTATTAACCCTGTGATTTATGTCTTTGTTGGGAAATATTTCAGACAAATAGCTTTGCAAGTTTTTTCACAACTTATTCCCTGTAGGTTTTCTTGGAGCTGGGAATCATTAAAAGAAAAGTCACCATTTCATATTTCATCTTGTTCCCAGTCAGGAGTAGCTTAACCTAATGATTCCCTGTTCCATGTTAATTTTGATATTACAGCTCACTTTAAATGGCATTAAAAGGAATATAAAATGCACTGATATGGCATTCAGACTATGCTAATTATTTGTTCAAATACATCACTTGACTGCTTATTTGTCCTTTGGTTTGCTTTTATTTTTCCATGCTATCCATCCAAATACATAACACCAAATACATAAACCTCATCAGTTTTCAGTGACTTGAAAAACAGAAACCCTCTTTGGCAAGGTATAAGAGGTGTGGTTTATTTACAGAAATCTGTAAACCAATTAAGCATTCTAGTGCATCATGTCTATGATGACAACTACTGTATCACTGATAACATTATATATAAAATTGTGCTGTGTGTATTTCAGGGCAAATATGAGATTAGAACAGCTCCAGTTACTCTTAACAGTATTATTAACGAATTTTATTATTACTGAAGCATGTGGAATATTTGAATAAGTGTTTCTTCGTTTTAAATGTATTTGGTGCATGAATATTGTACAAGACAAAGTAAAACCCCCCCAAAAAGTGTGTAGAGGCTGTAAAAAGCAAAACAATCCAGTATCTTTCTCAAAATCTGACTGTTTTGGGGGTCCAGTGAAACATTACACAAGAATTCATCAAGTAGGTAAAGATTCTTTTCATATACATGAAAACATCAGTAATAGCCTTGTGCACTCTTATTACTTTGGCTTATTTTTCATTTGAGGCAAATCCCACATTTATAAGAATTGATATTCTTATCAGTCAAAATTAATAAACTGCATAACCATTCTACCATTGACTTGTTCCTTTTTGTGAGTTCATTGGCTCTGCTGTCTTTTTCACTTTGTTTTTCAGCTCCTTTGGGTAAAAGCCCACATCATCTAAAAATGTAGTTCTGTGATTAGAAATCCTTACTGCTTCCAGAATATATACTCTGTTATTATTAGTGGCAATAATAATACGGATATAATAATATACCAGACAGGAGATGAGGGAAACTTCTTATCCATCATAACTACAGTTGTAGAAAAGATTTAAGATAACTGAGATCTGTTGCTGTAACAGTAAAAGTCAGTGCATATAAAGACAACACAAAATTAAAAGAGGACATAGTTACAGTGTCAGTTCAAAGGAAAAATACCTGTTCACTCAGAAATATACTGAGTGCAGAAAGGGACATAAAAGCACATTATATTTATAACTTTATTTAATAAGTTATTATAAAGCCCATTCACTCTTATATGTATCAGTGTACTGTAACACTGTACACTGTATGGCAATCACTGTAACAGTGCTGCATTTTCAGCAATTCTTTTTATTACTACTATGCTCATTATGAAATTAATCTTTTTTAATTACTAAAATTTGCTCATTCAACTCCCATTCCAATAGGCTGGGTGTTCATCCTTAAAGACTCCCATGGCATTTTTGAGTAATGGAAAACTTTCGAAGAGTTAGAAGTCTATCTTCCTACTATAGGTTGAAGGATGAGTTAAGGGATCAGCAACAAAGAATCATTCCTAAGTTTATTATTTTCATTCCCTCTGTGCCAGCTTTTTTTTTTTTTTCCCAAATAAATGTCAGGGCGTTAGCAATCACAACACTATGTGAAGCCCAGTGAATCATCTGAGATCAACTAGATTCCAGACTATTTTAGTTTATGTTGCGCACTAGACTTTTTCAGTACATCCCCAACTGAAACCATTACTCAAAATATTTCCAAATGGAGATATATTCTGAAAAGGAGCAAAAGCTGAAATCATGAAGAAAAAAAAAAAAAGTATAAACAGAAATGCCATTTTCCCACCATGCATAGGGACCTTAAAAGGGAAAAACATCTTGTCTTCTCTGACTAACTGTTGTCCATATTGACTGAATGGAGAAACACTTCTTGAATGATATGATGCATTTGGGGTATAAGCTAGCAGCCACTGAAATCAGGAGAAAGCCTCCCATTTACTTCAGTGGGAATGTGACAACGGTTTTCATTAAAGCTTTGTTTGTACTGCATATATCAGAACCATCAGAACCATCAACCATCAGAAAAAAATGTCTGTAAGTACACCTTCAAACAGTACTTAACAGGGTGTCACAAACCAGTGTGTTTACTGTGAAATAATGTAAAGATAAATGTTTTTCATCCATAAGGCAGAAGTTAAAATTTATCATCATCTTTCATTAGGGATTGTTTGGGCTGTGTTAATAGAGAAAAAATAGAGAGAAAATTCAGTTCACAATAAATGTAAAATATAAAATTTAAGCAGAAATAATCTCCTCCACAGATACAGGATGCTGAGTGACAAACATAGCAGTTAAGCAGAAAAGTTGATGAGAAGTTGAATGCAACCCAACAGTTCCAAGCTGCTTGTGCCTTCCAGATATATATGACAAGAGGGAATGAACTTACATGGTAGCAAGGGAGACAGGGCATGACGGGTTGCCTAGGGCAGGATCCAGAACCTCACCATGGAGACTTCTGAGACCACATTAGTCAAGCACTATGGGGAGTGATGTAGGCAGAGCTGATCCTGCCTCAGCACAGGGGGATTTTCATCTTTGATATGCATCCCTCCACTGACTCTATTTCTTGTGGTTAATAAATTCCTTGTTTGCATAGCCAGGGCTCTTTGCCTATCAATTTCATTCAATACTGAAACATCAGCTCAGATTGCAAGTCAACCAATACTGCAAGTCTCCACTGCCCATGGGCAATAAGCCCCCTTTTTACATTCTCTCATTCTACTCATTCTCGTTCTGCTCCTCACACTCCCCATGAACTAGGGGGAATGTGACTAAGATCTGGATTTCCAATATTGCAGCTTAATCACTTTTGAGGCAGTTTTGTGTGACTCCATATTATGTGGGAGATAAATGCATTTATATAAACCAAACCGTATCCTCAAGAAACTAAATCATTGTGTCTTGTGCATTATTAAATACAAATAATACATTGATAAGAGCAGATTCATTTATCACATCATAAATTCTCAGAAAGAAATCTTTGAAACAATAGGTAATTAAACTGAGTAACTTACTGCAGTGAGAAAGCATGGAGACAAATGTGTCTAATAATCATAACTGAAAGGATTAGAAAAGATTCTAAAATAATAGTAATTAGGAAGAATATTGCCATCAGCTGAAATATAGACTGAATATCCACCCCTCCTTGTAACACAGAGGGATGCCTGACAAACAGTAGAAATCACCATTGGTCATTGACAAAGAGGGGTCAGCCAGCTTCTTCAGAGACACATAAGGCAGGACTTTGGGACAGAAGGAGGTCAGAAGAACTGGAGATGCAAAATCTTGCTCCATCAACACAGGACATATAGAGAATAGCTACATTGGACCATGTTGGTTTTATTCTACAGGAATTTGAAGCTTGAGGGCAGAACAAGCCCATCTGAAGAGAATGCCAGCTAATTTAGCTCATTTACTCTGCTGTTTTAGCTGATCTGTTATTGGGGCTTTCAGCAGCTGCTGCTCATTACCAAGCCTTTTACTTCACACTTCCCTGGGAATCTGTCAAATCCCAAGTGCAGTTCCTAGCCTACCAGGCTTGATGAGGTACTTCTCTCCTCTTTTCTAAGACGTAGTACAACAGAGATTCTTCACAACTAATATGTTTTATTTGTCGTGGAGAATGGCCGTGTAGCCAGAGAGTGACATGCCCTCTTATTATTACCTCTAGAACACAGTGTGTTGCAAATACACCTTCGTATTGCACAAGAGAAAATGTTGGCAAATCTCTGCTCTAGGATGGGAGTGACCACCTCCTCTTTTCTTATTTTGTTGCTGTTGCAAAAAAAGGGATGCAGTCATACTGGTTGAGTTCACCCTACAGCTACTCAAAAAAGCCAGAATTCGACCCTTCCGTGACATTCACATTAATTACTAAGCGTGTCTGTAGCAAACCCTGTTGCCTCTTGGGGACAACCCATGGGCAGCACTGCCTTGTACTGCTTTGGGTGAACAGTAAGGGTCTTCTTCAGAGCCTGGTCCTCAACTAGAAGCAAAGCAGAAGAATCCCGCCTGCACAGACTACTTTGGTTATGCTGTTGTCACTGATAATAACTGCCTTGTGCTGTAATGTAGTGCTAAATTAAACACTAACATATAATCAAACTCTATAAAAAGGAATTGTTGAATACAAAACTTCCTGCTTTTAAAGCACATATATGTCTTGTTGCAGTAAGTGCTACAGGCAGAACATCCCTGTCTCCACTACAAGACATTAGTCAGTCCTCCAAGAATTGCAAGAAACACTGAGCCTCTGAATGAGGCCTGTTGCCAACTTTGTTTAACTCTTATCTTCTGGGTGGATACCAGCTTCCTGGTATTCCCAGTAATTCATAATGTGAATCACACACAGTAAGCACATAAAATCTGTCTGACCTTGCAAGTGTTAGTCAGACAATGAGTTAAAATTCATTTGATGGAAATTAAGTCTCTACTGATATCCTTATATTTTATGTACTGCTGCAAAAAAAAAAAAAGGTACCGAAAGAGCCAAAATTATTTGTGCGATGAAGTTGTGGTGTTCGACACAGTTTTGTCTCCTTCTGTCCTGCCTCAGACATTTGGATATGAAGGGCTGCAAAGTGACACTGTGACTGGGAGAGAGATCTGTGACTGGGAAAAAACTGCTTTGTGCAGAATCATCAATGGAAGGATGCAAAGCATTTATAGGTTTGTATTTGTTAGTGAAATATTAGCCAAATAATAGAAGCATTCATAGGTTTACTGTGAAAATAATTACTTGGAACAGCAGATCACAAAACTAGTTACTTTAAAATTAAAATCTTATCGCTAATCTTCCTGTCTTTCATTCTATAGCAAAAATCAGATATCCTTCAAATATGCTGCACATTATCTAAATAATAAGCACTCTAAACAGCACATGGCTTCCCTGAGAAACAGCACAGAAGTACTACTAATCACTTTGGAAAGGGTAATCCATGTAAAAAGCACATAAACCAAGGGCCTGGTTTCAGTAAAATAAAATTAGAT